CCACATGGTAACTACTGTGGATAGTATTATTATTACAATGAATACCCGGTTGCTTCACAGGTAGACTTTCTGGGATATGCCTTTTGAAGACAGTTTGAAAATCTAAAATTTATTTGGTGTTCAAAAATATTTTCTTCTTTTCTCAGGCCTGTGGTTTGTTTCATTTTTGGTGCTCTCTCTCCCCCTTGTGATTGTAGCAACCACGCATCACATTTTAGATAAATCTTTAGCTCCCCCGAGGACAAGCCTCCTCTTGTTTGTCTCCAATTCCTTTTGATTCTCCCCTAAAAATAAAATAGTCACTGGAACAATTTTCTAAAGCACATCCTCATTTAGAAATGAGGATCTAAAAACTATCCTTATTTACCTTGATATTGACCTCAAAAGATAAGCATTTTATCTAGGGTTTTATATAGGTTAATAAACACCATAATGAAGAGTCTGATGACTTGGACTGGCAGAATTGGACCAGAATGTTTGAATGTATTTGGGAGCATCTATGCAGACACAGCAGTCAGGAGTTTGAGGTTCTACGCTTTCACTGTCTCGGGCACACTCTAAATCCACTACAGATCATTTAGGGCCAGCTCCCTGCAATTGCTGGTTGGATTCGCATTTTGTTCAGCCTTAAGTGGCATCTTCAACTCCTTCCCACCTCTCACAATTAGCCAGGAAAGAGCCAGAGGAAATGGGCTCTGCAGGATCACCGACATTCAGGTCACCCTAGGGCTGCTCACTTATCAGGGAGCCTGTGGAGAAGGCAGCCCAAGACTGAACACCTCCAAAAATAAACACTCAGGAGCATCTCATGCACCTGGCTCTTCAGGCAAAATTAGTCTAACCTGAAAGCTTTGGGTTAACTGCTAGGAACTAGTTGTTAATTAAAGCCAGACCTCCCTGTTGTCACGGCATTAACAAGCTATCAAGTCTACTTCATGGAAAGTTAGTTGTGCAGTAGCAACTGGTAAGAATTTAGAAAAGTCTTACAATATAATAGGCAACTTTCAAGATCTCGAAAAAGACCACAATAGTTGAAACATTGGGAGAATATAAGAATACTATAATTAACAGAAATGGAGGGACAGCAACAACCACATTCCCTGAGAAAATATCCCCCAAATGGAAGAGTAAAGTCCCTAATATTGTGATAATGTTGTGGAAACTGTTAAGTGTGATGGCTCCTCCATGCTTTCAATGTTGCCTTCCACAGAAAGTTGATGTTCATAAAGAACCAAGTGTTTTGAGTCATACAAACTATTTTGTGTTCAATTTATCATCACCACCACCATCATCTCCATCATCATCACTACCATCACCATCACCATCATCACCACCACCATCACCATCATCACCATCATCACCACCACCATCACCATCACCACCATCACCACCATCACCACCACCATCACCACCATCACCACCATCACCACCATCACCACCATCACCACCACCATCATCACCACCACCATCACCATCACCACCATCACCATCACCATCATCACCATCACCACCATCACCATCATCACCACCATCACCACCATCATCACCATCATCACCACCACCATCATCTCCATCATCATCACTACCATCACCACCACCATCATCACCATCATCACCATCACCATCATCACAACCATCACCACCACCATCACCATCATCACCATCATCACCATCATCTGCATCATCCCCACCACCATCATCACCATAATACTGTCACCATCACCATCACCGCATCACCACCATCACCATCATCACCACCATCACCATCACCATCACCATCATCACCATCATCACCACAACCATCACCATCACCACCACCATCATCTCCATCATCATCACTACACCATCACCATCACCATCATCATCACTGCCATCACCATCTGCCATCATCACCACCACCATCACCATCACCATCTACCACCACCATCATCACCATCACCTCTCACCACCACCACCACCACCATCATCATCTACCCTCATCGTCACCACCGTCATCACACTATCACCCTCATTACCCATCATCACTCATCGCTGTCCCCATCATCTTCACCCTCATCATCATCACCTTCATTATCACCATCTCCATCTCCACCACCACCATCACCATCATCACCACCACCATCATTACCATCACCATCATCATCACCATTGTCATACCATCACCACCACCATCACCATCATCACCATCATCACCATCATCACCATCATCACCACCACCATCATCACCATCATCACCATCACCATCATCACCACCACCATCACCATCATCACCACCATCACCATCACCATCACCATCATCACCATCATCACCACAACCATCACCATCACCACCACCATCATCTCCATCATCATCACTACCATCACCATCACCATCATCATCACTACCATCACCATCACCATCATCACCACCACCATCACCATCACCATCACCACCACCATCATCACCATCACCCTCACCACCACCACCACCATCATCATCACCCTCATCGTCACCACCGTCATCACTATCACCCTCATTACCATCATCAACATCATCATCACCATCATCTTCACCCTCATCATCATCACCTTCATTATCACCATCTCCATCTCCACCACCACCATCACCATCATCACCACCACCATCATTACCATCACCATCATCATCACCATTGTCATCATTATCTTCACCATCATCACCATCACCATCATCACCATCATATCACCATCTCCACACCACCATCATCTTCACCATCACCATCACCTCCATTATCACCATCACCATCACCACCATCATTATCATCACCATCACCTTTAAAGCTGCAAAGAAGAGATTTGTGCTTTATCTGGGGAAGGACTGGGCATTTATTTGCTGTGCCTGCCCAGGCTCAATACCTCTCCTTGGCTCTTTTTTCCATGAATGACTCAAAGACGGGTCCAAATTTTATCTCATCAAGTATCTAGTTGGTTACAAAGTGAAAAGCCATCTGAAGCCTCTCAAAAGGTCTTTTCTCCAAAGAATGCAGTGATCTTTCTTCCCAATGCATGGCGTTAGGTACTATGAATGTATAGTGAAATAATGTCAACTCTTAGAGACAATTAGAAAAGACACTGGAAATTACTTGGGATCTGTAGGAGAAAGTTCCTATATAAACCCAAGCAGTAGTTACCATTCAGCACTGTATTAGTCCATTCTCACATTGCTCTAGAGAAACACCTGAGACTGGGTAATTTATAAAGAAAAGCGGTTTAATTGGCTCAAGGTTCCGCAGGCTGTACAGGAAGCATGGCTTCTGCCTGACTTCTGGGGAGGCCTCAGGAAGCTCACAATCATGGTGAAAGGTGACATGGCCAGAGTAGGAGCGAGAGAGAGCCGGAGGGGAGATGCCACACACTTTTAAATGACCAGATCTCATGAGAACCATTCACTGCCACGAGGACAGCACCAAGGGGACAGTACTAAACCGGGCATGAGAAATCCGCCCCATGATCCAATCGTCTCCCACCAAGTTCCGCCTCCGACACTGGGGATTACATGTCAATATGGATTTCGGTGGGGACACAGATCCCAGCCATATCAAGCACTGTCACTGGGGGAAAGTGAGGGGGAAATTCCATTTCCACAGCTTCTGAAACTTCAATAGGAACTTTCTAAAGAAAGTATTTAATATTCACTTATGTCATCATACGTATATAAATGATAGAATCAATATACTATTTTATATATAATTCAAATGCAAAGCAGTGGGCCATTTCCATATTACAATACAATCCAGATTTAACGTACAAAATTTTGGCTGGGCTCAGTGGCTCGGGCCTGTAAGCGCAGCACTTTGGGAGGCTGAGGCAGGCAGATCATGAGGTCAGGAGTTCGAGACCAGCCTGGCCAACATGGTGAAACCCCGTCTCTACTGAAAATACAAAAATTAGCCGGGCGCGGTGGTGCATGCCTGTAGTCCCAGCTACTCAGGAGGCTGAGGCAGGAGAATCTCTTGAACCTGGGAGGTGGAGGTTGCAGTGAGCCGAGGTTGCGCCACTGCACTCCAGCCTGGGTAACAAGAGTGAGACTCCATCTCAAACAAAACAAAACAAAAACATACAAAATTTTTTCAAAGAAAGAAAAATATAAATTTAAGCTTCCTCTTGCTCATGCTAGTTCTCCAAGTAATTATGGGGAATGTGGTATGGGGGGGCGGTGGGTGTCAAGGGGACCCTGGAAAGGAGAACACAGAACACCTGAGGGACCCACGAAGACCCACCAGAGGCTCTGTCACTTCTGGGCCTCATGGAACTCCTACCCATGGAGACCCTTGGTAATTAGGGGACACAGTGAGAGTGGAGGTGCCCAGGCGACCCCAGCACCTTCACAGGAGCCACCTCGCTGACTCCTCCCAGCCTGGGCAGCAAGCACTGTTATACCCCGTTGTTAGAGGAAGTCACTGGGTCACAGTGACTTTGAGACACGTTCCCAGGGTTACACAGCCAGCTTACCATGGAGCCAGGATTGACACCTGGACCAGGGCAAGAGCTGAGTCCCACTCACCGCCTACTTCTGCACAGCCCTCCAGCTAAGCATAAATAGTTACATTTTTAATGGCTGAAAAGTGAGAAAAATGATATTTCACGACACCTGAAAACGACACGTCCAACTGCGTGTGCAAGTCTGCGAAGGAAAATGAAGCACTGAGGACGCAGTGGCCCCTCGCTAGCCTGAGCACGGTCCAGGCCATGGCTGCGTTTATGCAGCAGAGGCAGGTGTTGGTGAAAAGAGAGTCTGGCTCATGAAGCCTGGGTTTTTACTCCCTGACCCTTGACTGGGAAGTTGGCCCAGCCCAGGCGGGATGGTGTGGCTCTGCAGCCCACCCACACACAGCGCTAACTTCTGACGCCCCTTCCTCGTGCCAAATGCCCGGCCATGGCGAGGGGCCCTTTGGCCTCTGTTGCAGTCCTTCCTCCTCTCCCACCTCCCAAACCACGGCGGCTTCCCTCTTCTCACCCCTCCCCGTCCTCTTCTCTCCTAGTGCACAGCAGCAAACACCTCGTCAGGAAGTTCCGCGGGCACCTGCGCACCAAGATCGAGTCCGGGGAAGGGACAGTCCCCGTGCGTGGCCCCAGCGCAGTGCAGACCTGGGACGGCGTCCTGCTGGGGGAGCAGCTGGTCACCATGTCCTGCACGGACAAGATTGCCAGGTGAGGCCCACGGCTTCCTCTTGTGGACGTTGGCTGCGGCCAGTGGGGAGGCCAAGCCCCAGGCTCCCTGCGTACCACTTCTGGTGAGGTCAGAGATGTTGGGCACATGAGGTCAGGGCCCTGTGCCTGAGTCGTGGAACTCCACAGCCATTTCGCGTGTTCAGTCCCACACCCTGAGGCCAAGACGCCCCGAGTCCCTGAGTGAGCAAGGCCCAGCCACCCCAGACTGCCGCTGCATGGGGCAAACACAACCTGGCCTGAGGCTGCCGGCCAGTCGGGGTGGCCATAGGCTAATGAGAAGCCAGGGCCTCCCCTGCCCACTGTGCTTTCCACCAAAACCTGACAAAATCATCCAGGGACAGCCACAGGCCTTGAGGTCAGCTGCTGGAACACCTCTCCCCCACCACCCCGAGACATTGTCTTCTTGGAAGGAGTTTTCAAAGGCTCCGTGTGGAGGTCTCGGGATGAGGTGCCTCAGCTGAGCTCTGTGCAGAGGAGCAGGAAGGTGCAGAATGGGCACCTGCCTCCCCCACAGCACCTCCAGTCGCTGCCACGCCCCGAGCTCCTCCCCGAACCTTGGTCTGACGCGTTGAGACCTCCCCCTACCTCGGCCTGATGCCTCGAGACCTCCTTGACCTTGGTCTGATGCCCTGAGACCTCCCCCACATTGGTCTGAGGCCCTGAGACCTCCCCAACGTTGGCCTGATGCCCCGAGAGTGCCATCCCCTCTGCAGGACATTTCTGTAACTTTGGTTTGGAAAATAAGGGTCACAGGTGTGGGGATAGCATGAGTTTCCCTAAAGAGCCACGAACTCCCCGCAAGCCTGATTAAAAAAAAAAAAAAAAAAAACTAATAACATAACAACGTGGTCACAGGAAGTCTGGGTTGAGTGACCCAGAACGCGCTTGGACACTCTGGTCGTCCTGTTCCTCTGTCATCTGCAGCTGGAGTGAAAACAGCGCACTTGACGCAAATGTGGTCTCCGGGCACCACCCCCACCTCCCAGCGAGGCTGTGGCCCTGAGGCCCTCTGTAAGGACGTTCTGTGGCGGAGCCAGGCAGGGGATGCAAAAGTTGGTCCCCAGGATGTGCAGGAAGGAGGCTGAGTGGGGAGGGGCAGGAAGCCCAAGGCCAGAGGAGGACCCGGCGCATCACCCCCGAGGCTTGCATGGAGGCTCTTGTGCCCACGGGGTCCTGGGCTCTCGACTGCCACAGCAGGACCTGGGGAGAGAAGGGAGAGGGTGGGCCCAGCCAGCCCCCATAAAATCCTCATCAAAACGCAGCCACAACGGGGTTCCCCAGCAGACAGACGCCCCATCGGGGTGGGCTGTGTCTCCAGTGCTTACCCGTCCTAACCCCAAGCGCTGGGCCCTGGCCCATCCACAAAACCCAAGGGGCTGGAGGTCAGGGGGGTGACATCAGGGGACACAGGGCCCAGGAAGGAAGGGGAGACCCCCGCCGCACCTGCCCCCGCCTCACCTGCCCCAGCCCCTGCAGTCCCCTACAGCTCTGCTCCCCAGGATCCACACAGACTGGCTTCTGGGGTCCAGACAGATGAAACCCCAGTCCTGACAGCAGTGGTTCTGCCTTCTCATGGAAATGGTAGGAGAGCTGGGGAAAATGGTGCCCTTTCCTTCCCAGCTCTGGGCACTCCTGGCTGGGGAGCCGCAGGGTCGGCCTAATGACAGCAGACCAAAGCCGGCCGTGGTTTCTGCATCAAAGGGAACAGCCCATTGTCGACAAATAGCTCATTTTTCAGAAGAAAATGTATTCTTCCTTTGTAATGTTTTCATCTATTCATGACGGAGAAAAAGCAGTAATTTTCACCTCAACTGAAATTCTCTTGGTGCCCTAAGATAGCATTGGGTTTCTAAATTTACTCTCTGGTGCCCCAGAAAAATGAAGTAAATTAGCATCTACAGAATTGAAACCTGGCTGTCCCTGGGATCTTCAACATCCATCGACGGTGGGCTAAACACAGGTGCAAACCCACGCGACTCTAGACGCAGGCACAAACCCACACGACGCCGGGAGGTCCGGTCACAGGTGCAGACCCACGTGATGCCAGCAGGTCCATGCACAGGTGCAAACCCACACAACGCTGGACACAGGTGCAAACCCACGTGACTCTGGCAGGTCCAGGCACAGGTGCAAACCCACACAACGCTGGACACAGGTGCAAACCCACGTGACGCCGGCAGGTCCAGGCACAGGTGCAAACCCATGCGATGCTGGACACGGGTGCAAACCCACGTGATGCCAGCAGGTTCAGGCACTCAGTGGCCACTCAAGGGGCAGGGTTTTCTCTCTGTAACAAAATCTTGAAAAACAAAGGTCCACACTGCTTCCCGGCCAGGGGTTTTCAGTGACTGGGAATTTGGGGCGATTCTAGACTCCTTCTGAAAAGAGAATAAAAGTTTGTGGAAATTGTCACGCCCATGGTTCTGGGTGGCTGGAGTGAGAACTCCTGAATTTGTCCAGGAATTAATCCTAAGCGCCTGCTGGGTTAGAACAGAGTTCTGTCCTCTCTCTCCATTCACAAGTGCTTCACTCCCGAGTCTGGTGACAGGACAGGGGTGCAGTGGACAGAGGGGTGCCCGGGTGTAGGGGCACAGGCAGAGCTTGAAATGCCCCCAACCGCTGGCCCAGGCCCCTCGAAGCCCAGCCCACCTTCTGGTTCTGTCACTGGTTGTCACCTGTCTAGACTTAGCTTCCCCTTGTCCCCATCATCTCTTCTCCCTCCTTCTCTTGCTCTCGGCCTCTCTCTGTCTCTACCTCTGTCTCTATGTCTCTCCCCTATGTCTCTCTGTCTCTCGCTTTGTCTCTTCATCTCTGTCCTTGTCTGTCTGTCTCTGTCTCTGTGTGTGCCCGTCTCTGTCTCTCTGTCTCTGTCTCTCTCTGTGTGCCCATCTCTGTCTCTCTCTATCTTTGTCTTTTATCTCTGTCCTTGTCTCTCTGTTTCTGTCACTCTTTCTCTCTCTCTCTGTCTCTGTCTCTCCCTCTCCGTCTCATCCCCCGCCCTGGCTGTGCGTATCCCATCTCTTCATCTCTGCTCCACTCGCCCCCCTCACTGATGAGCTCTCTGAGCTGCTCCTTCTGCCTCCCTCCCTCTTCCCCAACACCTTTCCCTTCTCAGGTCCTGCCCCCACGCTGTTCCCTGCACAGAGCCTGCAGGGGTTCGGTTCCAGGTACTGTCTGCTTCTGCATCTGAGTTCTGACCTCCAAGGGCTCACCAGTGCTGCTCGGCTGCAGGGTACCTGCCATGGTGGGGTGCACTCAGTGGCCCTCGGTGGTCCTCAGGAGCCCTCGGTCAACAGCCCTTTTTGGTGAGCAGGAGGGGTAGGAGGGGAAACAGTGGTCCCGACGATGACAGAAGTGGTGCCACCACTCGGAGCCTCTGCTCTGGGCCAGGCACAAACAGTGGCCTGGGGACACAGCCTTTGGCAAGAAGGTACTTGTGTATCTGCCAAAATCAGACCTAAGCATAGACCAGGATGTCCGTGCTAAGGCAGGAGCTGTTTCAGAATTGCGCCGCACTTGCCATTTCTGAGTGGAAGCATATGTTACGCTAATGATTCCAGACCATAAGCATCTGGGCCGTGCATTATTTGTACAGAGAGACCATCTGATAACGTATGTGTTCATCTGCTTTCTATCCTGTACAAAAACAAAAATTAAACCTAGGGCTTAAATAACATTCAACATAAAGGATCCTTCATGCACAAATACGGATGAAATATTCTAAGTCAGGGAGTTCATGACAGCCAGGGCTCTGTGGAGAGTGGAGTCTGAGGACACGGAGGTGGAAGTCGCCGTCTGTGAAGTGGCAGGAGGACACACGTGGCCGTGGAAACAACCTCACACGAGGCACCGTGCCCGGCGCTGGGTGCACAGGAGCCAGCCTCGTCCTGAGGGCCATGATGAGATGTGCAGGCAGTTTTGAAAGTTGGTTGTCAAATAAGTCATTATTAAAAACTAAATTACATACACTTAGAACTAAATAAGTTATAGTAAAACAAAGGTAATAAGTACTCAAAACTCACCACTCCAAATTATTTTACTGTTATTTGTGGTCTTGAAATTATCTACACCTCTTGTATCTGTTTGGTAGAAATACCACAAAATCATGCTGTTTTCCAAACCCCTTCATCGCTGCCCAAACCTGCTCAGTGACCTCACGCTGGGGCCTTGAAATCGGCCACAGTGATGGTGCTTACACCATGGAAATTGGAAAGCTACACACACATGCTGGTTTCTTTCTTTCGAGAGTTGATTGTTAGCAGCATACTACGGTCTCATCCAGAAATAACATATTTAAGGCTGCTAGGAGTCCACTGTCTGAACCCGGGAGGCCCTCACCCTCCTTAGAATCAACCCTTCCCACCAAACTCTAAGCTTCTGGCAGGCAGGGACCTTGTCTCATCCCACGTCATGCATTCAGTGTCTGGCACGGTGGGTGCGGGTACATAGCAGGCATACATAGATCGAGAGATGACAGACAGATAGATGGATAGAGATGACAGACAGATGATACATAGATTATAGATTAGATGATAGACAACTAACAGATGATAGATGATAGGTAGATAGATGATAGATGATAGAGAGAAGATAGATTACAGATTAGATGATTGATTGATGATAGAAGATAGATGATAGAGAGATGGGAGGGAGGGAGGGAGGGAGGGAGAAGGGAGCAATGGGAGGCTGAGCCACAGAGGAGGGGACAAGGGCTTTGAACCCCTCACAGCGCCATTGGTAACACCTTGGTGGGCTGGCAGGGAGAGTGCCTGGAGCCTCCCTGGCACAGGCTGGCGAGTGCAGCCTCCATGTTGCCCTGGTGCTGGCTGCAGCAGTCTTCAAGCGCCGGCTGACTTGGCTATGACGGCTCCACTGAGACCCACCCGAGGCGGCGGCTACACCACGGGGAGGCCCCAGCGCAGGAAGGGGCTGCTTCCAACCGTGCCAGCCTGTCCGTCCACCTGAGGCCTGCCAGGCTT